ACCACACTGGCACAACTAGCTCACATCGAAAGAGATGTGTGGTACGATACAACTGTTCTTTTGCAACTTACCATCATTTACAAGAAAAGGTTTGAAGAAAAATTTTGTTTTGTATTTTTGTGTGTTGGCTGTTTGTAAATCAACGTTCCGTATGGAAAAATGAAGTGGATTTATGTCAGCTTAATAATAACAATAATAATAAATGGCATTTATATAGCGCTCAACCTTGCTTAAAGAACACGCAGGCTCTGGGCGGTTCGAATGTATTTTATCTTCATGGATCAAACTTTCTACCCCCTTTTTTCATTCCTTTTTCAGTCACCTGGCAAGGAACCCACTTATCTGTGACTGCAACCTGAAATGGCTGGCTCACTACCTTGAGAAATACCCTGTAGAGACGAGCGGTGTGCGCTGCCTCACGCCCAGACGGGTACGCAAAAAGAAAATCAGTCTGCTGAGACCAGAGAAGTTCAGATGCAAAGGTATTTAATTTGTGTTCAGTTTTGGATCGAAATCGAATAGTGTCGCTTTCTCTCTCTCTGTCTCTCTCTCTCTCTCTCTCTCTCTCTCTCTCTCTCTCTCTCTCTCTCTTTCTCTCTCTCTCTATCTCTCTCTCTCTCCTACTTGTTACTTTTTGCCTGTGTGAAGGACGGACATCACTGCACAAGGGGAATCCCCATAAGCGCTCCGTCCCCTGAAGAAGCACATTTCGAAGTGTGTAGATGCTGACGGTTCCAAGCAATGGTTGATTCCAAAGCCTTCTGCTCATCCCACTCTCTCCTTTATGTCCCGAATGAAATCTGCGCTTTTTTCTCCCGCGATGCGGTTATTTGGTAAGTGAATATTTCACAAAATGCAGAATCTCCGAAGAACTAAGGTTGCTGTGTCTGTACCTCCAGTCTCTGAATTGGATATTTCCCTAGCGTGAACAACCATTGTTTTATATTGAATCACTGGAAAAAGCATGTGTCAACTGCTGACTCGAAATGACGTAACCTAATTCCGAAAAAGCTTCTTTTTTTCTGTCTGCTTGAGTTGTTATGACTCAAGAGGCGCCACCATATTGATAAGCTGATGTAAAAAGCGAGACACAGATTAACATAATATCAACATCCACCGGGAAATACGAAGAATAAATCACGCCCAGCATCATCAAGCCAAGAATACGATTCCATAAATAAAAATACTAGGGGGGTTCTGAGTAAAACTAATATTTCTTTACAGCTCACAGTATTGATTATGTTAATATTTTAATGAGATTGTTGGACGAATTCTGGGACGGTGTTCTTTGATGAAGATTTCATTGGTATCTTGTGATCATGGTGGCATTAGTGGAGAGGGTGAGAAAATCAATAATGAGTCTCTGCTCGTTTGGTTTGATGACTGGGCGAAGAAAGACGGAGTTAGGCGGAAGAAGAAAGCTTTATTGAAGGTCCTAGTGTGTGATTTTAGTCCTGCAAATGTTTACGTGCTTGTTTACGTATGTGAGCGGGTCTGTATTTTAATTCTAAAGACACACGGGTAAATCATACGGGTTTTTTTCTGGCCTTTCGTTTCATTCGTTCACTGCCTTATGCCTTTGACCCTGATCAATAATATTGTGTTGCCATCCTTTGCAGCAGGTTGTTTGTTTGAACCACTGGTAGGTTATGCTTTCTTTTCTCTCCCTCTGTTATTTCCATCTGGTAGTCTCGTTGTTCCGAGTGCTAAATAGTCATCATCGAGTCGATATGTCTTTTTTTACACGAACCCAAAAATTGAACAATCCCAAGGTACGAAACTTCAAATTTGTATTACTCACTTTCGATATAGAAGAAATTAATCTCTCTTTTCCCTCTCCCTCTCTCTCTCTCTCTCTCTCTC